AATTTGCATAGTAGTGCTTCTTTAGAAGCAATAATATTCTTTTATATTATTAATAGTGTTGTGCTATTTCATGAGCACAAACAAATTATTTGTAATAGAGAGATATTAGAGTACTAAATTCATAAACTATAATATGTATTTAAACAAAAGTATGAATGTGATAATTAATCGAACATAAACAAGAAACAAATAATTAAATGCATTACGTGTAATTTTTTGATGAAAAAATAATCAACATATTTTTATTTTTTATTTTATTATCGAACAAAAATTATGGAATCAATTATCTGTTGCACAACTATCAATTTTTTATTTGCCAATTGCATTAAATCTAGCGAGAAGGTTTCGCGACGATTAAAGGCAATATATTTCAATATCCCATGCTCCAAATACTTTTCTTTTATTTCTAGAAAATTCATCTATAAATTGGATAACCCACAAGCAAAAGTCTAGCCACGAAACCTGAATACAATATGTGCATGTGGCAGTCAATTTACCCACTTTCAATGCCCCATTTTTTCATAATTTTCAAGATGCACACGCGCGCGCGCGCGCGCGCACACACACAGAGAGAGAGAGAGAGAGAGAGAGAGAGAGAGAGAAGTGATTTGATTAAAAATCAGGGAAAAGAATTCATTTGACGAGGCAAGCTTCATGTAATGAGATCATCGTGCTGATAACGTTTTATAAAATTAAAGGAAAGAAAGAAAATAAGAGAAGAAATAGAGAGTCAAAACTCAAGTGTGTATTATTATGAACCAATGCCCTATATTTATAGGATCCAAAATAAGAGTTACAATTGGAATGAAATAGATCTTCTAAATTATATAAGGCTTATCTATATTTTATGATAATACTAAATAATCATCAATAATTATCTTATTATTTTACAATAGTTTTTGATTAATTCGATTATAATTGTTTTTAAATGACTTGAGTTTTTCAGATAATTGGTTTCATTGGTTTGGAAAATTATATTTGTACATTTACTTCACCAGGTTATGGGTTTTTATTTACCAATTGATATTACTGACTGATGCTTGATTTAATAAGTGATTTTTCATGTAGGATCTACGTAACTTCTGTTTCTCTAAATTGCGTGTTACAAAGGAAAACGATTGCATTTTTTGTTGCTCATTAAAGTGTTTTTAGTGATAACTGAGATTTCTTATTTTGTTTCGGTGTTGGTTTCTGATTCTGGTTCCTTGTGTTTATCTTTCTAGTGAATTGCTCATGCAAAGCATATATTAAGTCCTTGATATTATCTTCAAGTCTAATTGCTCTAAGTTTGATCAAGTCTCTGAAATACAATTCCTTTTTGTGTTTTTATTATGCTCTACTCCAGGTATTCTTGTAACATTAGATTGAGAACATCCTTTTAGCACATTATATTTCCAATATCGATCAAGCTGTTTTATTTTGGGGTGCATGCCCAACTTGTAAGCTATGTTGCTTTCTCTGAGTGTCACTGTTTTTAGTTGAATTGTGTACTAATAAATGTTTCTACGAGCAAGAGGGATGATGTTTCTATTGGAAAAAATATATAGAGAATGGAGGAGAACTAAAGAAAATATATATCAAGAACACCAAAATATGGTAATAAGGATAAAACACGAGATCGTTGTCCTCAAACGATATTTGCCCCCTCTAGAATTAATTTACTGCTTAAACTCACTAAAGAATTCCTACTGCTGCATGGAGGAGAGCATAATAAAAATCAAGCCTTGAAAAAGAAAACACTTAAGCACTAATGTTTATCTCCCAAAACTTGTAGAACGCAAAGGGTGGTTGAATATGTTTTGAGAATTAAAGAAATCTCTTTTTTTGTATGGAAATTGTTGTATTAAGTCTTTGGAAATGAAATCTTTAAAAATCTATCTCCTATTTATAGATTTTGATTCATACACTATGAAATGGTTCCCAAAAAAGGCACTAGAAACAAACCTGGAAACCAGTCAGTTTTTAGACCCATGTACACGCATGGGCATCAGCCATGCCGTTTCGAGATTACAATTAGTTTAGATTTGTCTAGAGAATAAACAACATTATATAGTGGTAGGATCCATATAATGTAATCACAGCATTATATAGTGATTTTTTTTGTTTAACATATTGTGTACTCATAATATACATGTTGATAAGTAATTAAATATTTATTATTTATGTACTCAGTAGATATAAATTGTAGTGTAGTCCACGTAACCAACAATTATGGAAGTCCATGAAACAAGATCAATAGTGGAGAACTCATCAGAAATCAAATGGGCATCTCTAATTGCCCTGCACTCCACATACATTACACGAGCAGTAACCAAGTATGAGTTCAATCACATTCTTCAACCAACCAATCCCTCATCCGGTTGTACAAAACTAACCCTTCTAGAGCACAATCATTCTGCACATACCCAACAATCATCAATGTCCAACAAACTATACTTCTAGTGTGAGTAGTTTCAATATCACGGCACTTAGAATACATATTGAGAAAGCTAGTCAACACAAAATTATGGTCCTTAATGCATAAAATAAGCAAGACAACTAATTGAAATAAATTCTATCCCCAATTGTAACAAATTATATCCCTTTAATTGACAATTTCCATGGAAAACAAAGTCAAACGAATACTAAAAGATCAAAAATTTCAATATTTTCTTGGTAAAAAATTTCAATATTTATACATTTAATTGACAATTCATAGTAAAACAAGTTCTAGGCAATTCAATTATCTCAAATTCGTTTTCTTTCCACACAAATTTCATTATTGTAATCAAACGGACCCTTAATGTAGCTTTGCAAATATTAAAAAAGTTAATTATATTACAGAACTCGGGAATCGAATAGAACCGAATCGAACTACACCAAATGTAACTGAACCCGAATGATTCTATAATTAAATTTGGATCCGACGGTTTCACTTACTAAATACTCAAAAATTCGGATTCAGTTCGATTCTCTTTAAAATTGAACTGAACATAATTTGACCATGTCTAGCCCTCATCATTTTTTTTTTCAATCCTTGTTCTTTTATATCCACATAATCATTCTGTAAAATTGAAATATGAAACTGTTGAAGACATAATTTAAATAAATAAGTTTGTCCCCTTCCTAATGGCTTAAGCTTTGGATGAGGTCGTTTCAACAAGGTAGCACAATAGAAAGATCTTGGGGTTCTAGTCTTACTGCCGCCTATGAAAAATTGTGTACGTTTTATGCATTTGATGAAAAAATGAATCTTGAATGCACGTACACAGGTATCTTGGCATAATCTAATAATGGGCAATATACATTTTCAACGATACTAGAGATAAGAAACAATATTTTGTAAATTGAATGATATAAACTTCTTATCTAAAGTCTAAGCCGCAGAATTGTGTGAAATTTTTTGTCAATGAAATGTGGTAAGCCATTGCTGCTGTAGCGTTGATAACCATGAGATGACATGTAAATGTGTTTAATTAATAGGTCGGTATATTCCCTATTCCCCTTCCATGGTGTTGTAGTACACTATTGGGATTTTTTTTTTTTCCCCTTTTCAATGTCTCACTATTTATTTGTCACGAGTTTATTTAACATGGCCTGATGCATGACAACAGGCAAAATAAGGACATCAATTCCTTTTAAGACGTAGTGGAGAACTCATCAGAAATCAAATGGGCATCTCTAATTGCCCTGCACTCCACATACATTACACGAGCAGTAACCAAGTATGAGTTCAATCACATTCTTCAACCAACCAATCCCTCATCCGGTTGTACAAAACTAACCCTTCTAGAGCACAATCATTCTGCACATACCCAACAATCATCAATGTCCAACAAACTATACTTCTAGTGTGAGTAGTTTCAATATCACGGCACTTAGAATACATATTGAGAAAGCTAGTCAACACAAAATTATGGTCCTTAATGCATAAAATAAGCAAGACAACTAATTGAAATAAATTCTATCCCCAATTGTAACAAATTATATCCCTTTAATTGACAATTTCCATGGAAAACAAAGTCAAACGAATACTAAAAGATCAAAAATTTCAATATTTTCTTGGTAAAAAATTTCAATATTTATACATTTAATTGACAATTCATAGTAAAACAAGTTCTAGGCAATTCAATTATCTCAAATTCGTTTTCTTTCCACACAAATTTCATTATTGTAATCAAACGGACCCTTAATGTAGCTTTGCAAATATTAAAAAAGTTAATTATATTACAGAACTCGGGAATCGAATAGAACCGAATCGAACTACACCAAATGTAACTGAACCCGAATGATTCTATAATTAAATTTGGATCCGACGGTTTCACTTACTAAATACTCAAAAATTCGGATTCAGTTCGATTCTCTTTAAAATTGAACTGAACATAATTTGACCATGTCTAGCCCTCATCATTTTTTTTTTCAATCCTTGTTCTTTTATATCCACATAATCATTCTGTAAAATTGAAATATGAAACTGTTGAAGACATAATTTAAATAAATAAGTTTGTCCCCTTCCTAATGGCTTAAGCTTTGGATGAGGTCGTTTCAACAAGGTAGCACAATAGAAAGATCTTGGGGTTCTAGTCTTACTGCCGCCTATGAAAAATTGTGTACGTTTTATGCATTTGATGAAAAAATGAATCTTGAATGCACGTACACAGGTATCTTGGCATAATCTAATAATGGGCAATATACATTTTCAACGATACTAGAGATAAGAAACAATATTTTGTAAATTGAATGATATAAACTTCTTATCTAAAGTCTAAGCCGCAGAATTGTGTGAAATTTCTTGTCAATGAAATGTGGTAAGCCATTGATGCTGTAGCGTTGATGACCATGAGATGACATGTAAATGTGTTAATTAGTAGGTCAGTATATTCTCCATTCCCCTTTCAAGGTGTAGTAATACACTATTGCCATTTTATTTTATTTTATTTTTTTTTCAACGTCTCACTATTTATTTGTCACGAGATTATTTATCATGGCCTGTTAACCGAGTAAAACCTGCATGACAACAGGCAAAATAAGGGCCTCAATTACTTTTAAGACGACTTTGATGAACTAAATTCTCGGGTGAAAGGCGCCAATCAATGTGCACGTCGTTTGACTGTGAAGTAAGGTACTTCGATTTGAATCCTAGATAGCTGAAACAGGTTTCCATATGTATGTTAATTATTAAATGATGGCTAAACACCACGTGTCATGCTTTTTCACTAGATTTTTCATTGTGCTAAATAAATGACTCTGCCATATAAACTAGAGTGATCAGATCATAAATTCTCCAGATTACGCAATGATCATCCATTTCTGCACGCTATGCACTTTGAGGATTTCAACAGTGAAGATGGAAGCAGATGTCTCCAAATAGCAGCAGTAATCAACCATTTGATGAATACATGCTCCAGTGATTCAGTACGATTGCAACTAACACATTTTGGATGCCAATCGTAAGGAGGTTATTTTTTTGTAAAATTTTCCAAGAGCAAGAATACCACTCTTCCTTTATCAATTCACTCTCATTGAATCCAAGCTGCCTAAGCATAGTATTGAGAAAGCTCTAGTTGATTCTATAATCCGTCTTGGCCATGTCTAATTTGAACGTGAAATTGCAACCCTTTCCTTCTTAGCTAATTACAATAAGTTCAATAAAGATGAAATAGAAAATAAAAACTAACTTATACGCCGATAATAGGATAAATAAAAGAAATAAAATATAATGAAAATTATTTTATTTAAATTGGTTTTTAAATAAGATATAAAAACTAACTTATTGATTTTTAAATAAGATATAAAAACTAACTTATTGATTTTTAAATAAGATATAAAAACTAACTTACTTATACGTCTATTTAATTTTTTAATTATTTATTTGGGATTTATTTGAAGTTTTTTTGAAGAAATTGGGAATATATTTGCAATTAATTCTTTATTTTTTCTTATTTCTTTATTTTTTATTTTATTTAAAGAGGAGGGCATATTAGTCATTTCATAAGGCTTTATTGAGAAAATGACTATTTCGTAAAGAAAGTCATCTAGAGGGGTTTTGAGCCAAATGAAAGGATAGGGATGTATTTTGCAATAGAGTTTAGGTATAGTGTTTTCTGTCAGTTACCACATTGGAAGATATTGATGAAAAGTAGTTTACAAAATTGCACACCTATCTTCTTTTAACCTTACTTTCTTTCCTTCATGATGTTAATTTAAAGCCTAATAATGAGTCCCTATTTACAAGACAAATAAGAACTCAAATTCCTAAGATAAAATTTACAAGGACACAAATTTCTAAATTATCCTTAATGAAGTTTTGGTCCGAGGGCTTCATTCTCCGCACCACCAGGATGGGGCTTCTTATACCCATTCCATCCTCCATAATGATCTCGTTGAAGAGCTAGATTGACCACGTACTGATTTCAAGGAGCGACAATAATTATGCTCCATGACTTAATAATAATAAGGGGCATTCCAGTATTGAGATGAATATACAATCAATACTCGAAAAACAAAATATATTCAAGCAGTATTATTGTTCCCATATTTTCCTTCTTTTGAAATCGAGACAAAATTGGCATCCAAATTTAAGAAATTAGGTATCCAAGATCATGATACCATGAATAAGTCCAGCATTTGCTAACATGCCAAGGCCCTAACCAAGAGTTGTGCTGAGGCCCTAACGAAGAGTAGTGTCGTAGCCCTAAAAGACGAAGAGGTTGTCACATCTACCGACCTGAGGAATGTCTTTGTGAAAGACTGATTGGACGTTTACCTTCTCTTATGTTAGAAATATCAGCCTAAAAATATTGGACAATTGACTCCTTGTCAATGTAATAAATGCATATATAAAAAGGATGTGATGTATAAAGGAATGAGGTAGGGGCGCGTGGCTTGGATCCAACGACCACCATGTCTTCCCCAAATTCTATATATACTCTCCCCTTAGAGAGAAGAAAAAAGAAGAGATGTATGAAACAAAAGAAACAACACATACATAGAAAGAGAAAAATGGGAAAAAACCTAAGAAAAGAATAAGGAACAGGTATATCAATTTTTGGCACATTTTGAAGGGAAAAATAAATACAACTCCAAATATTTCAAGTCATTGGATATCTTATTCGTTTTTCTTTCCTCTCTATTTACATACGACTGTTCTTTTACATCTATGTGCATATTATCTCCTAACGACACCTGTTGGCAATTTTTGAAGGTTAACAAATTGGCGCCGTCTGTGGGAAGCTTGGAATAGCTAAACCACAAGCATCCCGTGGAATAAAGCATGGAATAAAGCTTTTGAACAAAATGTAACGCTCTTGAAAAAGAGCAATACGGGGCATAACCTAGTTGCTGAAAAAGGGAACTTAACAGAAAGTGTACTAAGAATAGAACCAAAAAGTGGTTATCTGTCGAGGAAGTGCAGCCATGGATTCACCAGAGGAAGAAATTGTTCCTAGGCGGACTAGAGAGTGCCTCGGTGAGAAAGCATCTTCACAAAGCACCCAAGAGCCATTGTCATCTACTCCAGTAGTTCGCCACCGAAGAGGTGGCTCGAGGAGCAGGCATAGGCTAATAGTAAGGCTCGCTAGGGAGTTGGCCACTATCACCGCAAACATAAGGGCCATCTCTCAGCAAAATGTTGCAATGCAAGAACTGCTAGGGCATATGCAATACCAGTTAGCCAGCTCCTCACACAACAACGAAGAGGTTCTTCCGTCGAAAAGAGAGAGGGATATGGATATGGTCGCCAAATACGCCACCCGCCAAATAACTGGGGAGACTGTCGTTCTATCAGGCTATAGTGATAAGTGTGTTTTTGCACACTTATTTAGATTACAAACATGACTTAAATACAAGCAAAATGATTGAATTGTGACTTAATCTCATTGAATTCATGCAATGTAGGTGTTTCTATGGAAATAGTGGAATTCAGGAGAAGAGAGCCGAAAAAGGACTAAAATGGAGCAAAGTGATAGTTCAGGGACTAAGGATGCAAATATTCGAAAGTTGAACTAAAAGACAACTCGGGAATGCAAATATGCTAAGTATGAACTCGAAAGCAATACAAGATGATTGGAAGAAGAAGGAATTACAAAGGGACTAAAATGAATTAAACTGAAAGTTGGGGGACCAAGTTGCAAATAATTCATAGATGAGACTGGAAATGGAATGAAGATTCAAGAGTGTTAGAGGTCAATCGGATGAGGAAAGGAGTCACGAGGTGAAATAGGGTCGAAGTATTATCAAGTATCAGCTTTCAGGCGAAAAAGCTATGCTCGTGATTTTTAGTATCTACTTGAGATCCATTTTTGACATAGTAAACATCAGAATTTGAGGAAGCCTATTTCTATCAAAAGTGTAGATCTTTGAGTTTTCTTCACAATGCACTTTCAATCACTTCAATCGGAGATCAGGAGAGAAAGTTATGACCAAAATACTAAATGCTATCCAGCGGAAAGAATTGTATAACTATGCGGTCGCATAGTAGAAATGTACTATGCGGTCGCATAGGTATAATCTAGGGGCCGTTTTGCAGTTTTCTTATACGATTGAAACTCCTTTGGTAACCTAATTTCCACGCGATTTAAATACGAAAGAACGTCCAGAAGAAGGGGAGAACGTAATTGGAGGCACAAAAACACAATTTTGGAGGATTTGGAGAGGAAGAACAAGGCAAAAACAAGGCAATCCACTTCAAGATTCAAAATTTCACTTCAAGAATCAATTGGGTGATGTTCTTCCTTGGTTTTAATTGTTGTTTTTCTTTATTTCCAATTATGTTAGGCTAGATTTTCATGTGCTAGGAGATCGATGTACCATGTGATTTGAGTTTTATATTTCTAGTTTTGCAATTTGACATTAAAACATATTTCTTTTGTTTTGAATGATTTATATGCATTTCTTGTTTCCGCAATTAAGGGCCCGTAATTGTGTGAGTTTGGGTGATTTATTCTTGCATTCGAGAGAATTGGAATAGATTCGACATAGTATAAATCATCGTAGGGTCCGATAGGGGATAGAAATATACCGCTATGTCCTACGTGAATCTTTAAGTGTTCATAAAACTACATGCATTTTTACATATGCACTTGTCATAGAAATATAGGCCGGTGGTATGTAGAAATAGATTTGATACATCTCGAGAGAGAGTATTGGATAGACTTAGGAACATTGATTCGTCAACAATTGAATTATGTTGTCATATTGTGAAACTAGAGTTTAAAGTGATAATTGCATGGGAAATCGTGATCTTAGTGTGTTTAATTTCTATTGATTACAACAAACGTGCGTTCTCAACAATTGATTTCATTTTAAAGTTTTAAATTATTGTTTTGCTTATTAATTTCATTACAATCATAAAAGCTGCATAAGTAGGGTTTTCTTTCCAATTTTAGAGTTTTAATTAGGTCCACATTCATTTTGAGTAATTTGGTTTCGGTTAAGGTCGAATAAGTAAAATTGAACTAACCAATCTCTGTGGGACGATACTCGGACTCATTGAATCCACTTTATTACTTGTTAACGAACCGTACACTTGCGGTAATTTAAATCGAAAGAAAATATTTCGTGAACATATAGCAGGACAATCACGCCAAGGAGGTCGGCCTGTGTCTTTGATAAACTTGGTCCTTTAAGGAACAAGCGGAGCCGACCCCACATTTTGCCCACTCAAGTCAGGCTCCTACTATCCCCTTGAGCCAACCATATTTGTTCAACTCTCCATCAGTGGAAGTCAACATGGCAACTTCAGGCCACAATTGAACTCGCCGTAGATACATGCATCCCCCACCTAGGAATAAGCGTGAAAGATGAGTTGCATTAGCTTGGTTGTGGGCCAACCAAAACTGACCACGCGGGGAAAAAAAATATAAGCCCAGGGACATGTGCTTCCGAAAATCGACCATTCCAGACAAGGCCCTCTTGCGAAAAGAGGCTCTAAGGCATATGACTGCCAAGTCTGACTCCATAACCCCATCGAATATGAGCCGAACTTTGCAATAGATCAATGAACCAAGGGCACAAGCCTCATAGAAAAATGATCCGCTGTCTTTCCCATCCCACCCAAAAGATGTGGTCAGGGGACGGAAGTCTTAAGAACTGTCCCTATGAGAAAGATAAAAGCCTAAAAAGATGAGCTCCAATTTTGGCCATCTCAGACTGAATCCTCTTGCAGAAAGAGGCGCTAAGGCATATAACTACCGAGGTAGGCCCTATAATGTTAGCCAATAAGAGCTAACCACTCAGCAAGTCAGCAATGAAAAACATACGATATGTTTTCTTCTCCAGCCAAAGCAGCTTAGGCATAACCCTCATAGAATCATATTATCTGCTGAAGCTTTGGCTCAAAAGGTGAAAGCCGATCCTCTTATTGTTAATGGACTAGAGACTTCAATCCCATTCAGAGAGAGAAAAAGAGAAGGGTCAAAATAGGTCGAAGAGGGCTTAGTCCCACCCTATGTATAGCCTCAAAAAACCATACAATGTACTCATAAAAGAAGTATGTTCAAAGAAATGGTGAAGAAGAAATCACTTTGGTACCCT